CAGTTTCCGCGTTCGTGACCTCGGCACCGGCTTCATCGTTGTGAGACCATTGCAGTAGCCATGCTAACTGAATGTGCCGAGTTCAGCGTTCATAGAAATATCCACTGTCCTTTTCGTTCCTTGTTTTGCCTCGTCACGTAGTTGTGCATGGATTTTTTCGAGACCTACTGCTTAGCTCCACGCATAATATGTCGATTTTTTTGATACTTTTCCTTAACTTTCTCAAATATATGGGAGCCGATGTATAAACACGTCTTATTCACTGGGTGCCATTACCGGAAGTCCTAGAGAGATGCTAACTTACTGTTCTGCCGGATCTCTTAAGCACAGCACCTTGAACAGACCAGCATTACAACCTGTGCAACAAATGTTAAATACAAAAAATGTAATTCACAATATCAGCCGATTACAATGCTACATGCATACATATATTCAAGAGCTCATAATAGAGAACAGTATGACACTGTTTTAACAGCATTTTGCATAGTTTTCAACTTGTAAATATTCTACTTATCACTATGTGAATAAATATATTCAAACTTTACCTTGTTTTCGTCTATGATTCTCCCTTAATCATATGACACCACCAATTTACCTGAAAATCGTATGTGTTCTTCAAAAATTCTGTGAATACGACACGTTTCACATAGTTTTCCCAAATGTTTGCATGTATTCGGCGCATGTTGATATGCGGCGGCAGCACCAGGTTGTAACTACAGGACGCTGGGGCTGTTGGGGATATTAGGTAAGCAGAGTAACAGCGACTTGTTTCGCTTCCTTATCATCAGGAACACGATGGCAACACAGCTAAAATAGCTGCTAACACAGCTGCTAGCTTGCCGTGAGCACACATTTATTTATAGCATGCGGGAAACGCTACACGCTGAATACAATTCGATGCTTAATATCCCCAACAGCCTGGGCGTTCCGTCATAGACAATAGAACACTAATCCGATAATAAACTTGCGCCAAATACATGCGAAGATTTGGGAAAACTGTGTGAAACCGTGTCATATTCAAAGAAAATTTTTGAAGAACACATACGATTTTCAGGTAAATTGGTGGTTTCATATGATTAAGGGAGAATCATAGATGAAAACAAGGTAAAGTTTGAATATATTTATTCACATATTGATCGAATATTTACAAGTTGAAAACTGCAAAATTCTGTTAAAACGGTGTCATACTCTTCTCTATTATGAGCTCTTGACACATATCAATACACCACAGGATTCCTGACTTTGAATTACCACAAGCTACTAATCTAACACAACATCATAAAAACCACATTCTTCAACATTCTTGATTAATATATTCATCATTGATCTCAGCGGCTTTCTATGCTACTACTCTCGCTTCAAACCAGCAACGATTAACCTGTTTCCAATCATACTCATAGCCACAGAAACCAGCATCTCTGAACTTACAAAGTACATAATCAAGCTAATACACTGCTAGATAACATTACACTAACGATCATCTATAGACGCTACACCTTAATCATATTTACCTTTATATTCTCCACATATCGCAACAAAACGCCGATTACTCCCGCGACACCAGAAACCTTGCTGCCCTTTGTTCTAAGAAAAGCCCCGCTTTTTTAATTGAAAATCAACAGCAACGCCTTCTACTGGTGAAAATCTTAAAGAAATCTTAACTGCAATCAATGGAGGATAATCCGATTGTACAGTTAGCTTTCATAGCACACGTTGTGTGTGTGCGCGAGTGATTGCATGTGTGTGTACTCTGTGCTCTATGAATTTCATACATACTAATGTATTTTCTTCATTGTAATTATAGAGTGATTTCCACTATGAGTTCACTGAGTGTGATGCCAGTGGTGGGAGGTGGAGAGTGCAGGTTCCCAAACCTGGTGTGTGCAACAATGGAACCCCTAAGCCACCTGTCAGAGGACGGGATTGCAGTAAGAACTTCTTTTGCATAATCCTGACATTACTGGTAGTAAAACCCAGTGCTCATTACTATCTGGATCCAGTGTGTGTGAACTGGTGTCAGATAAAATTCTAGAGTCTATCAAATTTGTTTCTGAGTATATGACTAGTTCCAGAATGTACTTGCATTTTGTAGCTATTTAAAGACTCAAATCAAGGTAAAAATATGATAGGAAAAAAATGTCGATTAATATAAATTCAAGTAGTAGTGATGATCTATGTTCCTTGTGTGTCCTTGTGTGTTCCTAGCTGTGGTCACGTGTGTCCCTCGTACCATACACAACACTTGCATGTTGTCTGCAGGCTTTTCGTGCGAGCCAGGGCAGTACCTGGACGTGCAAGGGGACCAGGATTGCCACGGCTGCCCGAAGGGGACCTATTCGCTCGGTGGCGGGGTGCGATTCGAGAGCTGGGATGAGCTGCCGGACGGTTTCCGCGTTGTCTCCGACTCGTTTGAGAGTGCAATGGATGATGATAGCTGGGATGGCATGGCTGCTGTGATGAAAGATGAGAACTGTACTCTGTACGTGTGGAACCCTTATCAAATGTAGCTGATATAATAGCTAATGTTATAAGCTCAATGGTGTTGAGTGATAAGCTCGCCGAACCAACCACAAGGTTGTAGTAGTGGATCTATGCTCTGTTGAGATGGCACAGATCTTCACTTTACACTTTTATCAAATAAAATGTCAGTTTTGGTTAAATATAGCCAGACAGAGGAGAAGGCGATGATAGTAACTGCCAAAAAAAGCGGTTATGCATTATGTATAGACATTTAGTGTCGTCGCTGTAATGTGCCAGCGCTTATAACTAAGTGATTACAGAAATAACATGGCTGATATTATGATAATTGCCATGTTTTTTTAGCGTAACTGATGGTTTTATACAGGAAGACATTAGCTGCGTTCACATGAGGATTTCAGTTCCGTAATTGAGCGTTCACACGGTAAAAATATACGCGGCTTATTCGGTACCGTACTGAAATACGCGGCTTACTTGGCGCGGAATCACATTCCGCGCCAAGTAAGCCGCGTATATTCGGCACCACGCTGGCCGCATATTGTCTCTCGTGGGAACGCATTCGAATTGCGAAACTGTAGCGCACTTACCTAGACTGGTACCCGTTACGTTAGTGTAGCGTGTGGAATTGTCGACCGTGTACCAGTCTATATTATACCTAGCCAGCTAAGCCTCGAATCTCGTGTAGCTCGTGTGAATGCTCCGGGTTGTGTTAGCGCGGTATTTCAGTCGAATTCCGCACCAGCTAAGTACGGAACCAGCGAGGCCGTGTATACATGTGAACACAGCTATAACACTTCAAAGTTGAGCGATTTCTCAGGATTTTTTTCATTTCACTTGGTCATGTTTCTTGTAGATCGTCCTGGCAACCACGAGGTGATTTCATCTCATCAACGGCAGATCTGTGTTCGCAAAGCTTGGTGTACACAGCCAGATTAGTGAAGCCAGGCAAAGTGACCTACACATACCAATTCACAGACAGCGATGTCATCTTCAACTTTCTGGTAATTGTCAGCCGTCACGAGTGCTTGCTGTGCCATGCATTCTGGCTAGATTTTAAACTGGATATTGAATTGAAGAAATATGGTGAATGTATTCCGGAAAATGTAGTACTTTGGAAAAATATTTGATATCAACTGATATGGTGACAGTCTGTGTTAAGACAGGGAGCTCAACTCATTTCAGAATTGTTTATTCGTAGTGAACCTTTATCAAAAGTTCTATGTGATCAGTGCAGTTGTTTTCTGCTCAAGGTGCAAAACGACGAATGTCGATCATATACAGATTCTGCAAAATGGCCAAGACACACAGGAGAAGGAGAATGGAATACTGCAGAGGTATATGTTGTGTGTGCGTGTGTACATGTGTGCGCGTGTGTGTGTTATGTTCATGTGTGCGTACCTGGGTGTGTGTGTCGTGTGTGCGCGTGTGTGTGTCGTGTGTGCGCGTGTGTGTTATGTGCGTGTGTGCATACCTGCGTGTGTATGCGCGTTGTGTGTCCATGTGTGCGTGCATGCACATGGATAGGTGCGTACGTAAATCACTGACTTATCTGCGTATATGCTTAGACGAGTGTCAGACAATGTTACACCTACTGTGTTTATACGTGTTTGTCAGGTTTTGCTGAAGTCTGGGCAGAACATCTTGTCCTGGAAAACGATCGGGATCAACTTCGATACGAAACGGACTCCGAAGCCAGTTCTGATCAAGCGCATTGAGATTAGTGGTAAGCACTGTTTACAGCAGTCGTATATTGATGTGTACGAACCACCTGTACCTACAGCCTACTAGCTCTGCGGAGTCATTCAGTCTGTTTACGCAAGGTCATAATCGCAAGAGCGTCGCGATCACGTGAAAGAGTGAGTCGCGTAGTCGCGCATTTGTCTTACGGTAGTGGAATTACGTCTGTGTGTGCTTCAGGTGTGGCCTACACTTCGGAATGCACGCCGTGCGCTAACGGCACGTTTGCCGATGCGGAGGGATTCACAGAGTGTAAGGCGTGCCCAGTCAACACCTTCTCACATCATGGGGCCGACGCCTGCACTCCATGCTCCGACAAGGAGTACGCACGTAAGGCTATCGTTAAAAGATCTTCTGTTTTTCGGAACCTTACACAACAGGGTGGCTGGCTCGGTTTCTTGTATACAGCGTTTCCCCCCTTTTAGCAGCACAATGTACAGCTATTAATATATTTCTGTCAGTCGTATAGAACAGTAGTTGAACTGTGACAACTCGGTGCTTTCGGTGTGTGTTATTCGACACTAAACAATTTCTGTTTTGACAAATGCAAAATAATTTCCCCATATTTACTGCATGCAAAGGACAAAGTATTGTATGATAAAAAAACGTGTGTTTACAGTAGTAGCAAAATCTAAAATATCTAAGCAACTTGCCATTTTTGGTATGCACCAAAGTGATCACTATAGAGAACCTATGGAGTCGCAAGTGTTTGTTTTTGTCGTTTGTTGTGTGGAACAGCAAAACATAGTTATGTTATGAGTCAACAATTTTATCATGACAAGTGAACAAAATTATATAACCATGTTTTCATGGTTTATATTTTATGTAAAAGAAAATCTGCTTGTACTAGATAAGGCAAGATAATAAGTAACTGAAAATGAAAAGCGTGTGAACAATCTGGTTCAGCAACCACGTTTAAACATTTGTACATGTCGTTTCTCTCTCCCAGCCGAGGAGGCAGCATCGTGTGTTGCTCGGCCGTGGTGCACCAAAAGGGATTACTTTGAGACTCACACACCATGCGACGAGAACAAGGAGGTATGAGATACTTATGAGCACTTGCTGTCGAGAGTACAGCACGACTATTGTGACATGGTTGCATAGGAGTGGGGGAGGGGGGGGGGGGTCGTGACGTCTGCCATTGCTGCCAAGTCAATGTGAGATGTGTAGGGGATTTTGTCGTTTAGTGGCAGAGATGATCGTAGGCGTATTGTATACTATAGACATGTTTATTTTATGTAAGTTACGGCCTACATAAGCGCAACCTGCAGTCGGCCAAGACAAAGTCTGCTCGAAGCCCATGAAAACCAGAAACAGAATCCCTGGTCTTTTCCGTCACCCCCTTTTATATGGAAGTCCTCTCTCTGTTACCTCTTAATGTTACGCAAGGTACATCTCAATGTTATTTAATAGAACTCGGTGGTTTTTCAACGTTACGAAAGCTTCAGATATTTTGTAGTGAGGCCGGTGGCACTCTAATGCTTCCGCTATAGCCGTGTATGCATGATCTCATGTCTCATGCCTCATGTCTCATGTCTCATGTCTCATGTTCCATTTCTTATGGCATATTCTCATGCTATAGTCAGAGCTTTCTGCTTGCAGACGTAATTCCGTGATATGTCAATCAGAAGATAATTATAGACATTTGTGCTTGTACATAGAAATTCATGCTCTATCTTATTGCTGTTGTTGTCGAGTATACACATATCCTACTTAAAGCCGCACTATGCGCATCTAAACGCTAATTTCTCTAGTACTAGACTAGCAATTACTTCGTGTCATGCATAATCACACTACTTTAGGGCAAAATAAACTCTAGTTCCTCCCATTTCAGTGCGCATTTGCTTAAAACCCACAAGAAATGCGGTAAATGAGGTGCGAAATCTGGTAATCTGGTGCCAACGCTAAATTTTTTGCCAAACAATTTTGCCAAGAATCGGTTAGGTGACGTCACATGTTTTTATCTTTGCTACACCCGTACCGCTGTACCGCAGCACCGCTCCACGGTTGCTTGGCAGAGCAACGCGAAAGTGTCAACAACATCAGAGAATTTGAACAACATTGGAGGTATTTTCAAATGCCCTTTATAAGACAACGCACAGTGAAATGGGAGGAACTAGAGTTTATTTTGTCATAAGGTAGTGTGATTATGCATGACACGAAGTATTTGCTAGTCTAGTACTGGAGAAATTAGCGTTTGGATGCACATAGTGCGGCTTTAATAAGAATAAGTATACGTATATGAGGGGGGGAGGGTAAACTGCGAGACGTGGGTGGGGCTTGGACACCCACTTACAGTACAGGTGGTGCTGTGCTTTGCCACTTCAGACGCAAGTGATGTATAAGTGGATCGAGCCGAATATATGTCTGGATGAGGCAGAGGGTGCAGCCAAGCTGCCCACGTCAGGTTCTAAGACGGAGTGCGGACCCTGTAACCCCGGCATGCAGTACGTCAACGGTTCCGTGTGCGAGTTCTGCCCGACCGACCAATTCTCGGACGGCAAGCGCCGTAAGTGGTTACGGATGACCAGGGTGCTACTCTGTGGCTGCCCGACGTCGGAGGGTGAAGTGTCAAAAACCGCATGTTTCAGACGTGTGCCAGTTATGAAGTATAGAAACCACATCGGAGAGTGGGGTGTAAAAAACCTTATGTTTAAGACTTGTGCCAGTCGCGAAGTTTAGACGCATTGTCGACGTGCGGCAACTTGTGCAGACGTAACTGTTTGCCCTGTCAACTGTAGAAACATGGCCGCAACAAGTAGCATGATCTTGAGCTTATAGAAAATGGTCGGATGCACTTGATAGAATTACAGGAGTGTGCGTCCATACGTCCTTTAATGACGACATTCAAATTCGGCACGTATGGGGGTAGAGAAATCCGAAAATATAATCGTGTTAATAAAAAAATATAATATAAAAAAAAATAAAAAAATAAATAAATATAAATCCTATTAAGTCGTGCTCATCACTCGTTAGGTAACACAAGTTGTTATTTGATCTGTTTTCAGCATGTCAGCCTTGCCCGGCATCTACAGCACCCGACTATGGACTTAATTACAAATGGTGGAACTCTATGCCGCCCTACATGTCGGCTGACTGTTTCACACTCGATAGTAAGCATATAGATATGGCTGTGTTGTCCTCAATACTGTGTAGGCTCCCAGTACCCAAGTCATTATTGCCGTCATCACCCTATTCCATCCCTTAGCTTGATTCGGTCTTACTTCAGCACGGATAATTTATCAATGGAGCTAGGATTAGGATTACGTGTTTGGGTTAGGCTTGATAGGAATAGGGAGATGATGATGATGATGATGGTTCCAAAATATAGGGTTTAATCATCCATGCTACCTTCACTGATTACATATTTTCATGTCTAGACTGTTTGTACCTGCTATTTATACTTTATTGTATGTTTGGCAGGGCTGGTAAATTAGAAAATGATGTATTAACTCTAATCAGCTGGAGCATGTGTAGTTATTAAAAAACTCAGAATACTACAGAGTTGTCTTGACATTACAACCACATAGCTAATACAACCATGAAACTAGTTTGACTACTATTATATATTCTAATAATAACTACATGTGTAAAACATAATGTTACACAGCAATCATTTACTTGCCTGCATTTAATTTGCTTGAGGATTTCCCTTTGAATACTGTTGCATGGCTGGTCAAGTTAGATAATTTATACGTGCTTTCCACGCCTACACGTAAAACTGTTGACTTTGCGGCCACTTCGCTACTAAGCAACATCTTTTGAATGCTGATCGGCTAAAGTAGCCTGTCATTCACGTAAGGAAGAGAGGTAAATTCTCGTTAACTTGAGACGAGTTCACCACACTCGCGCCGCGCGACACGTGATTTCTCAGCTGCTCACTTGTTTGTCGTCGTGCGCAGCGACCGGGTGCGCGACGCCCGAGGGCTGGCAGCTGGCGGGCGATCGCGTGCACAGCGGGCTGGGACATGCCGACGATGTCTACCTAGTGCTGTCACTGCAGCTGAACGGATTCCGCAGCGCCCGAGCTCTCTCTAAGCTAACCGAAGTCGGTCGAGTCAGCTTCGTCTTTGAGCTGCATTGCACGGCCGATTGCTACCTGTACTTTATTCAGGTGAGTCACTGGGATCTCTAGGGATGGGTGGGGGATGTTTAGCTTCACTGGGATCATTCCTGCAGGTTTGCTTAGCCTTGACTAGTGGATTGCGTGTCAGCAATGAATAGTTAACAATGAACGACTTGTTTTGACATGTGGTAGTCTCATCAGAAACTTTCGCTTTGTTTCAAAAGTTGATGCTGTGTCATTGCTCTCTCACTTATACACCCTTGGTTTACTGCATGGGTCATGGGTAGAGGGTAGTGAAGTGACCGTCACAGATACTGTTTTACAAAATAGGAACTTTAGTTGTGCACTTATGGCTTTGTTCACTTTTTATGGTTATAAATTGCCTTATTATGCTTCCTATTTTTTCGTTTTTTGTTGTTGCAAACAAACATTACCAACTCATATTGTTTCAATAGTGAGCATTGTTTGTCTGTACAGTGTACAATAAGTAAAATTTCTCCCTATTTTTTTACTTGTATCTTTTATCAGGCAAGAGTTTGGAGATATATTTAGTGCTGCTAGTACTTACTTTATATTATAAACTCGACGTTTTTCACAAACGTACTGTTATTTATTTCCTTAAAAATGACATATGACATCAGTGAATGTAGTCTAGCAGGATTATCGTGTTTCATAGTTGGCTTCTATGCATCTCTGCTTTATCATAGGACAAAAGTACTGTCATCGAGAGCTGGAGTGGAAACCAAGGGAAACAGCAATTTAGGTGCGTCACAATAAATTCCATATCCGATCATTATGTCTGCTCTGTTATATCATCACATGCTAAGCTATTAGATAATATTGTTAAAATGTATTGTATTTATATATTCTAAAAAATGCTAGGGTCATTCAAACAAGTATTTACCCACAATATCCCTGTACATCTCTGCACTAGTAACGTCATGAGTGCTGCTGTAGAACAAACCCCCTATTCGTTGGTTATGAGTATACGCATATAGACTGATATAATGATATAATGTAATTGTTAGCACACTAAAAATTATCTGGTAAGGAAATGTAAGCATTTAAACTAGATCTATGTATACAAGAGCCTTGGTTGTGTGGATGGAAATCACTCCTAATGAGGAGAGCTCCATCTATCTCCCCTTCTCTCTTTCTCTGTTTTTAGCTCATCTGACATAGTCGGATGCAGCTTGTAGAATTGCATGAGCGTCCGTCCGTCTGTTCGTGCGTGCGTCCGTCAACAGTTGGGCACAAATCTTAACCACTCTACAGACGGTCTTGATATTTGGGACGTTGGGGAGGGGGGAATCGCGAAAAGGACTCGGCATGTTGAATTTGTGGGTCAAGGGTCAATGGTCAAGATGCGTCAATGGAGGGGGAATATTTCCCCCTTAATTTAAGGTATAGGAGGAAATACGGAATTGTGGCACAAATCTCAACGGCTCGACTTACGCTCTTAATATTCGATGTACATTGTGATGGGGAGGAAACCCATCACCAATGCGAAATTGGAGGTCACAGGTCAAAGGGCAGTGGGGGAAAGGTCAGATATCAGACATTTTCTGAGGACATGGCCTAATGGACAGAGTGAAAAACTTTTGTGTGTCAGCCGCTGCACCTGACGTGCATTTTTATCACTTTATTGAAGGACCATGAAAGTTGCTTTCCACTGACTGTGAGAGTAAGTGTCTGATAACCTTTGACCGTCAAGAGGAGGGTTAAACATGGATTTGTTGACTCGCTTACAAATGATGAACCTGTGTTTGATAGTACTTGCTGTGATCGTGCAGAGACTTATAATTTCACTCAGTTGAAATTCTGCATGCAAAACTTTACTCGAACAACGTGTACCGCCCCTTTATCTCTATATGAGATTCGCTACCATTGGCGAAACACTAGCTTCATACACATACAGCAAACGTCGTATTTGATCTAAGGCCAACTTATAAATAGGCCTACCGCACAGTGTGAGTGGCTGATAGTATCACAGCATGGGCTAAACGAACGTTGCAACTAGGTTCGGATTATCTATTCCCTGCACCTAGTCAGTATGCACGCCATCTATCGGAACAGAGTGAGAAGAATGTCCTGGCAGGATAGGTCAAATGTATATTGCGCTCAAAAGTGCAGAAGGAATGACTTTCTTAACTTCAGTTTAACCAATCGTCAAACCTACCAATAAAAATCCATCGGCACATCCTCTACACAAACAAATCTATTCTTAGCCCTGTCTAGTATTCATGCATTGTAAAGTTCTTCATTTCACTTCAAAGTCACACTTGGGTATTTCTTACCCAGGAATAACTACTCTATAGCACGTTATATACTAAGAAAACGGCATGTACTAAGAACCAGACATCAGATGAGCCATGTTGCACGGCGGCACTTGTTCACTCTCCCTCTCTCTGTCTCTCTCTTTCTCTCTCTCTCTCACACATACATGTACATGCATGCACACAAACAACTAAGGTTGGTTCGCTTCTAGCTATGCCATCTATGACGGTGAGACCAAGTTGCTGCACTGGGCGTTCACCAAAACAAACCTAGAACAGGCGTATGCATCGAACGGGGACAAGAACTACCAGCACACGAACGACCGTGTCATCATTTACTCCATCACTGTCACTAACACGCTGCAGGGTGGAGCTGATGAATGCCAGCCCTGCCCCCGTGGCAGTGCCACCGACGGGTATGCATGCCCTCTCCGTAGCCAGTCGGTATATCCATGAACATGTATACTCTATGTATACTATTACTATACTATATGCACTCCCATGAACATCTATACTAATTACGTGCATGGTATCTGAAGTTAATAAAAACACATTTGTTTTTATTCAGCCTGATAGTATAGATATGTTCATGGTATGTCTAATATATTGGTACAACTGTATTATTACTCTAAAAGTTGTCATCGGCCACGGATACTCGGCACTTTTTAGAAATATTGTTCCTATCCTCTATTATCTTAAATAACTCGTTTATATATGGTGTGTTAATCATTGGTTTATCAGCCGTGTTGTTGGCGGTTATAGTAATAATTGCAATCGATGATATGGTTATGGTAGCAACAGAGAAAGGCATATAAACGCTTCTGTGATTCCTATATAGCTTACATCAACAATAAAAGTTTACGTTTATGCGCGTCATATAGTGCAACAATAACAATACAGCCGTAAACAGCATGACCTTGCTCTGTCGCAAGTGAACTACATACAGGATTGTGGCCATCCACTAATACTAGCAGTTTAGGTTAATTCATAATGCATTTGTACTCAAACAGTGCTATGAGATTAGCACATTTTCCATCTCATCAGCGTTTTCTTGTCAAAATTATTTTAATTTTCTCTAAAGCCGAGTTTTAATGCACCGTTTTTGTGTTGTATTTACAGTTGCATTCCTTGCCCACCGGGGAACTACATTGACAGCAACACGACGCGCTGTGTTGAATGTGCACCAGGCACAGTTGTCCAAGAGGCAGAGGCGTATGACATAGGTATTTATAGTTCTCTCGGGGAAGGTGGGAGAGGGGGTGGGGCAAGTTAAGTGCCACATATCAGTCTGCCAAAATCATATATCATAAATGCAAGGTATTGAAATAGGGTCAGGTTGATGTCATAGAATGTGCTTTCCCATCATCAGTCATGTAATTACTAATAGTAAGGCTATATAAGGAACGGGACAGTATGGCAGGAGTATCATGCGTTTACATCCAGTGAAGAGGACCAACCGCATCAGCCACCATCAATAAACTAATCTTAAGCGAACGATTATCAATGATTGAGACAACGGATAGCCCTTATTTCGAACACTGACATCTGTTAGAGGCCTAGCATAATTCATTGGTTCAGTGAATGTTTCTCACTAGGCACTTATTAGACACTATTGCCATATTTCTTGTATGTTTTAGAACACCACTTAACTGTGCACACGATGTTAAAATAGTAAATACCAGCCAATATAAATCATACGTATAACATGCATAATCACCAATTAGCTGAAAGATTATTATCAAATATATATAAAATAAGCAATTAATCATTGGTTTACAGCCCATACAATTTAGTGCTGGCGTATGTCTAAGTAGATAATCTGAATGTATTCAGTGAGTTTAATATATTCTGGTCATATGTGTCTAGGCAATGCATGTCAAGGTAATTGAGAGTGACATAACATGGGAAAGCTATCTTAAGAGCATCGCACCTAATTTTTTTCTACCCACACCTACAGATGACTACGTTTCTTTGTGTACACCCCTTCAATGACCCTCGACAAAATAATAAATATCCTAGATACAGTGCTTACATACATGCAATATGTTGCATACAGGCCACGGAACATAAATTGTGACAATAAAAAGTAGTATACAGTATTTATTTAACACACTTGTATAAGTAACAGTATGTAGTTATTTCCCCCCACAAACGTGATGTAGCAAGGCAGCATGAAATGGCCGTATATTTTAACGTTAGCATGTAAATTAATTTTGTCCTGTCCATTGTAATATTTTTCTTGGTGTGCGTTGTGGTTCCTTTCCTTTTTAAACTCAATTTTAGCATGAAACCATCTTTTTCACCATTGATGGTGAATTCTGTTTTATCTTGTTTTTTAGTGGATTTGTGTGCTTGTTGATTTTCAGCTTGTTTTAGTACTTTAATTAACAAAACTTGGTGAAAACTGGAAATATTTGCTGATAACAGATAAAACGTCCAATTATTTACTTTTAACTAAGATTGGGCATAAGATATCTCGCAAAAGTCAGCTAGTTTTCCATATCGCAGTGGGCTATAGTGGTGATTATTGAAGCAGCTGTTTATTATCACAGACTCCTGCAAGCCCTGTGGTCCAGGGACGTTGACCAAGGACCATCTGAGTTGCTACAGTGACTGTAAACTCACGTTACCAGGCGGTAATATGTTTGACTTCTCCCCACTTCAAGGGTAAGCATATCTAGATGTTTAGATATTTAATGTGATAATTATATCACTATTAAAATCAGAGAAATGAAGATGTGCTCAAGATGGTCAATCTTACAACCTGGCTACCATAACAGACCAGATCAATCAACCAATGAACTAATGAGGTAAACTCGTGATGTTAAGATAAGTCTGATGTTGTTATATATCCCTGGAAACGTGAATGATTGTGGTGAGTTTTTACATGTGGTAGCTTTTCTTATCCGGCAGTTTTCACATGATTTGGCGTTTGTAAATTTGTTCCGAGGCATTTCCAATGATAGCACTAGCGATTGAAAATTACACAATCGAGCAAGATAGGTTTAATTTCATTGCCGTCTCCGTAGGTATCACACACTACAGGGAGCAACGCTGTTCACAGCAAGTGGAACCAAGTACTTCCACATGTTTAATCTGTCACTGTGTGGTTCGCCGGACAAGCATGTAGTTCACTGCACAAACAACGTCACTGTCGGAACTGAGAACGTACGTGCAATCTTTTGGTAGTACGTGCCCGCAAAGTTTGCGTTTGCTAGTTTGTGTCTGGTCGTGCAGGAGGATTATCTGAAATAATTGAAGGGATCAGATCACTCTTGCCTCTACGTTGCATTTAGATGTTGTAAATTAGTGAGAATAATAAATGAAAGAGATTGAAGGAGAGAGGCTGGAATGTGGGTAACTGGAGAAAAGCAAGCTAAAGCAGCATGATGTGTAGGGAAAGAGAGAGGAGAGAGAGAGAGAGAGAGAGAGAGAGAGAGAGAGAGAGGGAGGGGAGGGAGGGAGGCGCAGGCGAGCGGAGGGAGGGACGGGAGGAGGCGAGGGTAGGGAGCGGAGGGAGGGAGGGAGGGAGGGAGGGAGGGAGGAGGAGGGAGGGCGAGGAGGAGGGAGGGAGGGAGGAGCGGAGGTGTAGGAGCGGAGGGGGTGTGAGGGAGGAAGGGAGGGAGGGAGAGAAGACGAGAGAGATGAGATTGATTGAGAGAGAGCAGAGAGAGATTCGAGAACGATAAACTCCTATAAATAGAGTAGAATTTGAGAGAGAAGGGAAATGGAAGAGTAGTCTGAAATGATACGAATGGGAGCATGCAAAGAACATGGGATATGGCGATACACAAATGTGGACAGATCGTGCAGTCATGATTCTCATGTAAATGATATTTCGAGAAGATAAGACAGCAGCGCCGGATTAACAGTTGCCTGGCGCGCGCGGCCATTCAATATATTTGGGGCCGCCCCATCCACCCGCCCCGTCCATTAAGCATATAAAATGTTTTTTTAGACCTGTTTAGTGGCATAAGTTATAAGACAATTAATTATGTCTAAAAATTGGAAAGGAAACGTGTCTAAATAATTCAGCTAGAGGTTAAAAAAAACATTTAAACATATTTTGTGAAAAGATTGAGTTATTACCCCACTAGCTACCTGAAAGTGAATTATTATCCTAGCTGCTGCCAAGTACACCACAAAACACGAGAAAATGCAAAACAAGTAGAAAGCCACGAAAAACAAATGTAGTCATATGAAAGTGGTAGGGCCGGCCCAAGATATACTTTGGAAAAAATAATAAACAGTATATTTTTTTTGTAGTCACAACACTTTAGGGCCGGTCGACTTGTAGGGCCGGGGGCAAATGCCCCCTTTGCCCCATAGATAATCCGCTACTGAGACACAGTAGTAGAGTGCAGTTTTAGGAGGAAGAAAAATAGTATGGAAATGGTACAAGAATAGCGTGAAATGATATAGAGGAGAAAATATGTGATGAGTAGAGAGGCTCTTAGGGCTGTATAGCCTGCTTCTCAGGGCTGTTTAGGTTAGCTGGTTTCATTGTAGGTAATTCTTCGATTTGCTAAGAAATGTTTTGTAACAAGGCTTCTGGCTGATGACATTCTATTTGCGATTCACTGATGGTTTAGGTTGAGGAGGAAGAGACCGGGGAGGGAGTGGATGCTCCCATATGTAGAACAACTGTCATCCCACAAAAATCACATGATGGAGACTACCTACTATCTGCCCAGTCCGTGAGGTGAGCATGAGCTTCCTTTTAATTCGGGAGAGTTTTTCTTGTTCGATGTTATTAATTTTGGCTCCATTGATGGAGCATAGGGCTCTCTCTTCTTGGTTTCAGGCTTTGCCCAGTAATGCTACTCACTTTGCTGCTGGGATTGTTGTTAGCCTTACACCATCATTCACTGTGGTAGTGCAATTCAAAACATTCCCCGCATGCTGAACCCGATATAAGCCATTGGGACAAATTTGTGTAAACTAACATAGTGTTTTAGATGAAAACCTGTATTTAACATGCCATTTCCTAGGCTATTATAGTTTATGTATACGCATATACTATCACAGCGTGTCTTACATAATGTTCCTGTCATGGGTTAGTATATTATAGGAAATTCCATGATTTTTCCCACCTTTGATTCTAGTCTTGGGGAGTACCTTGTGGCAGTTACAGACCAGCCAAAGTTCCAGAGTATGAGTGCAGCAAAGGCACCTCTTGATGGTTTGTAATTAATTGTACACAACAATATACATTAGATAAATAATATCAAAAGTAAAATAATACGTATTATTATTATTATTATTATTATTATTATTATTATTATTATTATTATTATTATTATCAGTAATGGTAGTATTTGTTGTAGTAGTGGAGGTGTAGTGTATTATTATTATTATATTATAATATTATTGTTATTATTATTACTATTATTTTACCCCTGATAATACAGATGACTGTATGAATTGGGTTTTTTCATCATTTTGATCATTTGATCAATAAATTCAAATTTAGGTTAGCATTGTTGACTTGGAACTACAATCAGCTACATGCCTGATCTTTGTGATTGTAATTTTCAGTTAGCAAAGACTTGGGTTCGGTTCACTTCTACTTCCATTCTGTGTCGTAAGTATGAGGATCCAAATGGACTGGATAGAATAGGTTTAGATTTTAACACTATCTGTAATTGATTATTGCATGCTAAAATGTGTGTACGAACACTGTATTGCGGACTGTTTCCGATAGAGAAACAGGTTGCTGTGGTAATAGTGGTGGTATTCGTTGTGTGATAGACACAGAAGAGTTGCTGGTGGTTTTGCTAGGCACAATCGCATTGCTATAGTGGTGGTAGTAGTCATCATTGTAGTATCGTGATGTAGTGATGCTTTTAAAGCCACAATCGTAGAGCTATTAGTAGGTATTATTGCTTTAGAGCCAACCTTTTATGTAGGCGTATGAACATTGGGAAATGGAATACATGATCGTGTGAGAATTTTCTCTTGAGTATCGAGAGTTTCGCTTGACAGTAGGTCTAGTCTTTGAGCCATATTACTTTTGGGTAGATGTATGATAAGATATCGTTGCCGTGGACAGGGCAACACAGGCATGCCCAGATGGTCGGAGGAGCGTGATCTCTCTTCATTGCAACGAGAGCTATGAGGCTAAAGGCCAGATCAGAATGCCAGGCAACTGCCCAGATGGAACGTGTGATGGATGCACCTTCCACTTTCACTGGATCACCAAATATGCGTGTCCCATCTGTGCAGGTATCGAAAACACATGCTCCCCTCTTTTTTTACATGCGTGTGTGTGAGCGTGCATACGCGTGTGTGAGTGTGAGCGCGTGCGTACGTACGTGCGTGCGTGCGTGCGTGCGTGCGTGCGTGCGTGTGTACATACGTATGTGAAATAGGATACAAGTGTTGAGAGCTTTTCATAGTTAATTTAGTTTAATTTAGTTAAATTTAGATTGGATGTAGTCGGGCTTACGTAGCGGTGGATGGTTATGTTTTATGCAGATGAGGACTACAACATCATGAAGGGAGAATGCAAGAATGGCAAGCAAGAGATTCATCGCCTAAAAGCTAGGTAAGACTACCTCACTATTGCTGCAGCATTTACCTCGTGTTTACTCACTGGTTGCATTGTGTGAGATTAAAATCTATGTTAGATAGATAGATCATAGGTCTATTGGATGACAAACATTTAAAAAAGTACAATTTAAATTTTACAAACTTGAAACACGATGTAATTTTTTAACTCATTGAATGAAACTTGCACGCTCTGTTGTCAACGTGTAACAGTATGGGTGTATCTTTCTTCTCCTCCACTGACCTGAGGTACTTAATAAGATGAGGGGCTTGGTTATATGCTAGTGGTATTTATTACATGTTACAGTGAATGCATAGAGGCTGAAGCACCACAAATTACGACACAGGAATGCAGTGTGCTTCCGATGCAGGTCAGTATATAGATCGCCTGCATGTAAGGCGTACATCTAGTTAGAGCCATTCTCTTTGTGCATCTACGTGTGCATTCTGTATCATTAATGGCTTGTTTGACTGGTTTGTTTGCGTATAACGTCTGTGCTTGAATACCTATTAAAATTCTCATGTGATTGCATGAAACAGCAAGTAACATAATACTTAAATGTCAATGAAGAGTCTGTTGATGTGTAATTATTCTACTTAAAATTAATTAGATGATAGTAGTATTAGTAGTAATGATAATAATAATATGATAATAATAATAATAATAATTATTATTATTATTATAAACACTATTACATTATCTCAGCCAGGCAAGTTTGTGCTGTTCATTATACATAGAGCTTTTCTGTATTCTAGGTGCAAATTGTGATTGCAGTCGCAATTGGTGTGGGAGTTCTTCTAGTTGGATTGCTAGTGTACTTCTGGAAGAAGAACAGAAAGTTAGTATGCCAAAGTTATTAAATTGAGCTCTTTATTGTAATAAATTTAATTCAGTGTGATGCATTTATACAAATAGGTTTTATCCCATATTGTGTCTTACTACTGTTATTTGTGACTGTAGGCATCTGTTTTCACTATTTTTATTTCAATATTAATTCAAATATTTTGACCTGTTAATGGAAATTTCAATAGGCCATTCAATCGGAAACTGTCGTTAACACATCTGTATGTATGAATCTATTGTAAAATAAAATTACGCCTAACATTACCGTGAAAATCAATCTACTTGTTTCACGATGTGTGTGTGTTGATAATGCCACTGCCCCTGTTTAGGCTAGAGTACAAGTATTCGCGGCTGATGCAAGGTTCCTCGGGCAAGGAAGGGGAGCTACCTGCAGCTGAGACCTGTGCCATTGATGACGACGAAGAAGAACAGTATGACAGCATCGAGTTCAGTAACAGTCAAGGCAACAAACTCCTCAATAAGCTGTCGAAGTCCTTCAAGGGAAAGGTAAATATGACGTTGCTACACTCAGCAATAGTTATACATGCAATAGCTCCAGAATGGCTTGGGTAGCATAAAAGGGCGAATTCATAGGGTGTGAGAGAAAAAAGAAGGATTATAAGTAGGGTATGGTAAGAAACATCCAAAGTGAGCTGTTTACATATAATGTGTAGGTATATCTTGTGTAGTGGCAGGTTTCAAAGTAGTTTTTATTTATGTATAAAAAACAAAGAAGTAGTTATGTATCATAATTAGAAATGATGTAAATCAAGATAAACCTGTGGCACTATGCATCAGACAAGGATTAAAATGAATTGTTGTTTTTATTAGGAATCCTTTGACAACCCATTCGAGAGCATTAAACTTTCGGAGAAGACACCAGTTCTGTCCTAAAGGCGTATCTGTGGCCACCGAGTGAGAGAATGAGAGAGTGCTAGCTCTGGATCTCTCATTGCCTCCACACACCTCTGCATTTGGACTGTATGAGTAAGAAAGTGAGCAAATGAACAAACTGAGTGGATAGCAGAATCGGTGCTACGTGGGATTTCCAGCATGTGTGAAGTTAAGTAGGTGAAATTTTTTACCCAGTCACACTGACATGGTGTATTCTTCAGGGATAAAAGCAGCTGAATTTATTCGATATTATATATGTAGATACACTACAGCAGGTAATATATTCTGAATTTCACTGTGAAAGCATATTGGACCATTAACTATTTAAGCACACAGGTATATTTTGGCATTTTTTATCTAGGTGAATATAATATTAGGTAAGTAATGGTACTCTCTGTGGAGGAATTGTGGCAAGCTATTAGGTTATATGCTTTTTGGGCATTTAGTGGAGTTGAAAGGAGACATATTGTTGAAATATCGCTGCATATTGTGCAGTAAGAGTTGGAGTCATTAAAATGCAAGAGATTGTGCAGGATTAGAATTGATATACCAAAGAATTTTCAGTGGCACGCAGAACTATTATATTTATATATCTGAAATAGATGTGACATTATACAACGGTTGCAAAGCTGTTTGCCCGAGAAACAGAAAAAACATTCCATGGTTAAGGCAGTGTATAGTTTATGTTTAACTTGGGAACTAATTACAAATCCATGATTAAAGCCAGGCATTCATAATGCATTGCTTACCTCTGTATGGCACCCGTAGGGAATTTGCACGTAGGCAGACTGCCAAAGATAGAAAGTACAATCAGTTGTATAGTAGGCTCTATAAATGAAATATAAGCTGATATAATATATATACACATACATATATATATATATATATATCATGTATATACAGTGTTTCCCCTGTAGTGACATGAGCAAGGTGGGCCGCCTCGCTCAAATTCTGAGCCGCCATACAGAAATTTGTCCAAAACCCTGCCTGGTTGACAAAAATCACTGTTCTTTCATAGAATAGTGCTTATAATGCACCAAAATAGCTTAGAATGCACCAAATTGCAACATTTTTTTCAAAAACTGTGTTCCCGGATCCCCATAGCTGGGTTCTCGAAACGCGCAAACGCACCAAAAATATATTTACCATATCACAGACCTTTTTTGGCAAGGGGAAACTATATATAATTATGTAAACCACGGATATATATACCCTGTGAAAAAGTCCCTTAATACTAGCCAGCTATACGTTAGTTCCTATGTGTGTCTTGTGTGCTTGTCAACCGAACAAAACGCAGGAGAGCTGGTGATACTTTTGTTGATCTAAATCTTCTGGGACGATTTCAAAACCGATTTCATGCTTTTGTGGAAGGTTGATTCATTGTGAAATAGTTGAATTTTCATTCAATGCCAAAGAAATGTATTAAGTAACAGGATGCGATGTGCAAGATTCGTGTTGTATTTCTCTGCACTCGGTATAACACTTTTCACTCGCACATTATTTGTATTGGTGAGTGTCGTATTGATTGCAGAATGATGAAACTAGTCCATTTATGCGCATATATAAGAAGAAAATATTTATTAGTGATAATTAAGTCTGAAGGATTAACCAATCAGCAACTGCATTCCATCACAACGCCGTTGTAAAGTTAAATACCTGCTTTCCCAGCTACAACATTACATTAATATTATTATTACATATAGTGGTGATGATTTAAATCTATAAATGCGTTATATGTCTTGATACCAATGTAATTTATGAGGAACCTTGCCATAAGGAGGGCCCCTTGAGAGTAAAGTATAACCACTGAATTATAAACTAATGCGTTTGGGAAACAAAAATGTGTTATTGTTTGTGAGGGTAGGCTGTGATTTCATCTGTCCTTGCTCACATGTAGCAGCAGCTGTTGGTGTATGTTAGATGTACGTTTTTCAAATTTTCACCATCTATTTAATAGGTGTCAGTAAACATAGTTACACTATTCGACTATATATTCATCGCAACGCATACGGACACCGATTTTGGCTATTGATTGCCGCTTACCAGCACACTTAGATCATAACATGTGTACGACTTCCCCCCAACCATAGTCGTTTTGTTGGCAAAAATTGCAATAGTGAAAAAAGAATTGTGAAAATCATCGTTAGCACCGACTATGTGTGTGTGTTCATCTATTTTTAATAGTCAAACTTAGACTCTAGTCTACCTTGTGTTGATTTGTTTCACGGAATATTTATCGATGGTTGCGTGAATTCTTTCTGGTGTGTTGGTGTTGATGAACTTGTGCCTTTTAATATAGCAAACCTGTACAGAACTACACCACCGCAGGATATGAGAGTGAAAGTCAAAATCTGAGGGTAGATAGTAAATGATCACAGGAAATACTTACCCGCTCTTTAGATGGTAGATTTTTGAGTGAATTGATAGCAGCTGTTGTCATTTGCACACAGTGGTATCAATTTTTATTTAGTGTAAGATGAAAAATTGTTATCAAGCTAGTATTAAATGATAATTTACAAGGAATAGTAGTATCAATGAAATGTAAGCTCACACTCGGCCTAACTGTCAGGTGTGACATGTATAAGTAAGTATACGTGCTGGTATAGTAACGTCGTAGTAACCTGCATGCAATGGTAGTAATAATGTATAGTCACATACGGGTGTGCAACCTCATGTCGTTCAAGTTATTCACAGTTCTTGTTCTCCGAAATTATGAACATCTCGACCGTGAATACCAGCCGTTCAATTTCTAAATACTCTAGCAGATGCTTCTGTCTAATGTTAACGCTACGTTTGAATACCGTATCCGGCATAGTTGGTGTTATAAGGAAGCTACGGCTCTGCCTCAGAGCAGTGGTTGCGGTTGAAATGAATTGAGTCAAACTTTGTTATTTTTACTGTTCGTTTGTGAAGTAATTATGATAGTTTTATTTTATCACGTTAATGTAACTTTACATTGTGTTATTCATGAAATCAACTAGGCATATTCACTTGCCGATTTGTCTAGCCTTTAATTATAAGTATATATAATATAAATTATATATAACAGTATTTACACAAATCCTCGTTTAGGTAAGTTTCTAATTTGAATGATGGATCATTAAGTTAGAAACAGTGATCAATATTTCGTTCCATGTATAATATATTTGTGTATGCATTTGTTGACGATGATATTTGTGATATTCTTCCCCCCACCGTACGTTTGTGATACCAAAGTGACGCTAGTGCGCGATATAATTTTAACGCAGCTGTACGTGTAAAATCGCCGTTTATATAGTTTGTCTGTATGTGATCACGCGATGCATGTGTTTGGTATACAGCGATGTATTGGTCGCACTAGTAGAGGTATCGGTCTACGCAGAGGCATCTAACAAGCTGGAGCCCGTTGTCAGAAACAAAATTAGTCTTAACATTAGTCTTAGCATGAACCTTTTCTCTTAGACCGTCGACAGAAACGCTGCGAAGTTACCTGAATGAAAAATCGTAGCAGATTTCCTCATAACGATACGAAACAAAGTGCTGTCGACGGTCTACGAGAAAATGTTAGTGTTAAGACTAATGTTAAGACTAATTTTGTTTCTGACAATGGGCTCCACATTAATATATATATATAAATTTATTGTCAATATTCCACTTGCGTTTCATTTCTTGTTAAACAGTGCGGTACAAAAAAGTTAATTGGTTTATCAGAGAATGCTAACCGAGCTAGCAATCATTAGCATGGTGCTCAACGTGCTAATTGGCATCTATTCACCGCTTTATTTCATCGACAAAACATGCTCCCGCGCCGCTAGTATAGGTGCGTTTCTGTGACACCCTGCATCGTTGCTGTGTCGTCGTCTAGACTACGGTTTTCTGTGTGTTTATGAAACGGATAACGCTCATGTACATGTGTCGAACGAAACGTGCAAGATGTGCAGCTATACGAGTATTCTTCCACATCCCCCCGTTCATCGCGTGTCAAAATAAAATAATTCAAATAAAATAAACAAAAATAATTTGTTTTATTGCGTATACGTTGTTAACTCGCCTGCTTTGTAGTGTTGTGGCGTTTTATATCAGTATCTGTATCGAGAAATCTGCCACAAATTGGAATTTGTTCTGGCTACGACTCTGTATAAGCCCACATATTTTGCATAGAGCTTGTCAATTCGATAGATTGGCAAAAAAACAGCGCTGAGCGGTTACATAACTGGTGTAATAGGACTCTACTCTGTATATTAATTTACAAACATACTTCGTATGTTCATTGGCAGTTTTACACTTAATTACTCTGTCGCCACTATTCTCTACGGACGATTCATTTCAGTTCAGTACGCGTCTTTGTTTCTCCCCCCAGCCTGCCTTAACTAGAGGTTATACCTCTTTTACTTAGGGTTTACTCCCGTATTTTTTTAGTTCTGTAATGGATGGCTCTATTTGCTGAATGCTCTATCTGATGGCTCTATTTGCTGCTATTTGCTGAATGCAGAGAAGCCGTGTGTACCATTGTTCAAGTCGTTGGTCAAGTTAACTCGCAGTACTGCCAGTGGACTAACCCCCTACTGTAGTATTACTGTGAAAGCAGCTGCGGGGCTTCAGGGTTACGGAAACGGAGATAGGCACCGCCCTATTCGCCTATGTTCCACATATGCGTGGGAAGGATTTAACTTTTAACTTTTTAATGGAATGGCTTGCTTGGATATGAACGCATATGTTATAATCTCTCGACACTTTCTCTCCTCGCATTTTGTGGCTTGCCGACCTGAATCCTTCAGCAGCGCATGCTATATAGAGATATGTGACATCCGTGAACGCGTGAACAGGGGGGGGGGGGTGAGATGATAAGCTAGCCCAGCCGATCAGCAGCTAGGCCGCTCGTGTGTGACATTCACCGTGGCTGGTAGCACAGGCACTTGGAGCGTTTCAATAAAATATAATGCTAAATAAATACGAAATCTATTTCCTACCAAAGTCTTAATATCTATATAATGTTTCCCTACTCTCTTTCGCCTATTATTGCCGACAATTTCCTGTAAATGCCGTACGAATGTTCCTCTGCAACACACACATGTACACCGCGCGCACGCTGCCGCACACTGACATACACACACACACACACGCACACACACACACACACACACACACACACACACACACACACACACACACACACACACACACACACACAACACACACACACACACACACACACAACACACAAAACAAGACACACACACGCATATATATATAATATTCACATATAATATTATTATATATTATATTATATTACTATTATATATTATTCTTGTGGCTGTAGCCGTTACTGGCTCGCTCTTCGCCATCACGCTCCTTCCATATATTTATAATCTCGGAGTTCGCACTCCGGCTACGCGCGCCAGGTCCGCTCGAACCCGGATTGCTCTCCGCGCGCGGAGAAATTATAGGGTCCTAGCTGTCGCCCCCGTCCGCGTGCATCTCCGGAACCGATACAGTGTTACCGCGATAGCTGTCGTTTCTTAGACCGCATATCTGAATATCGTAGCTCAACGCCGGTGATCGAGAAGGAGGAGTTTTAGTTTTCACCGTTACCTTTCCGACTCTGCGCGTAGATACTCACACACGCGGTGATGCTTTTTTCGCAGTCGGTTGCATTGGTCGTCGTCGTCGCGTCGTTGCGATGGGGGCGACGCGCCGACAAGCAGGAGCCGAACTCCCGCTGCGCGGACTCGCGCACTACGTGCGACGATTTCACGAGAATTGCAGAACTGTACAGCTGCGATAGCGACCGTCCCGGCCAGGTTCCGATGCGGCTCGCCGCAAGGCTTGTCGCTCCTCTCGAGGCGGGAGCTGTCGCGCATGGCACGAGAACTAACAGCGCTGCTGCTTGCGGCGACGTTTATCCGCGTCCGCAGCGTATCATTTGCCGGAGGCGGTCCGCCCGGACGCTTCCACGAGCGCGCGGCATAGATGACCGTCGCTCCCATGGGTTCGACTAGTGATGAACGCGCTTCGCAGAAACAACGTTCGTCGACAGGTCGACTTTGCGGACTGAGAGCGGTATGGCTAGGGTTCACGACGCAGTTGGGCGACCGACGCGACGTTCTGCGTCGGATCAGCGACGGAAGGAGCGGCGTTAGACGCTGACCTCGGTACGCGATCGCGGACGAGCACAAGAGGACGCGACTCGCGGGCCTTGCTTTCGAAGTCGACATCTGAGTACGAGGCGACGGAAATGAGGTTGGGCGCGCACAATCGGCGCGTCGAGCGACTTGCTGCTTAGAAGACGACGTGTCGGACGACGACGCCGAGACAGCAGTGTGACGAATGCGACGGAGGGATGGCCGACGGAAAGCAAACATACGACGGGCGTTGCGTTGCATGCCATCAAGCGGCGGCGGATCCGATCAGCTGCGAGTGCGGTCGCAACGCAACTGCTTAGCTGACCGAAATCAGGCCCGACGCGACCGACACGAGCGCATCTTTCGGGCTCGCTCGCGCGCGCAGCGCGTCGCTAGAGCGTCGCCGTATGCGATGTGGATCGAGACGTTCTGGGCCGGCCAGAGTAAACGGCCATGCTCGGATGCGAGTGCCTGGTCATTCGAAACGGATTTTCGAGGAGCGGCCTGCTTGAAAACGGAAATGAATTTCGCGAATACGTCGGCTGGACACGCGTAACCGAGTTGAGTGCGACTGCAGGGCAAGCACTTAGGTACCCCAAATAATACTCGACTAATTAAGGTTACTAATTACTTAGTATAACTAATATTAAGACTTCTGAACTATAGGCCTACTATATACAATTTAAGCTTAAGGCATTAATTACTAATTATAACTAGTATAATGGCCTTCTAATATTACTATTACATTAATTAAGGCTATAAAAAACTTATGCTTAATGATATTATATAAGGCTTACTAATATACTAATATAACTAATATAAGGCTTACTAATATACTAATATAACTAATATAAGGCTTACTAATATACTAATATAAATAATATAAGGCTTACTAATATACTAATATAAATAATATGGCTTACTAATATAACTAATATAAAGCTTACCAATATACTAATATAACTAAAATAAGGCTTACTAATATACAAATATAACTAATAAGACTTACTCATATACTAATATAACAAACAAGGCATACGAATATAACTAATAACTAATAACTCAACTAATAAATTATAAGGTCATTTACAGGCTGCGTATGCGCGTATATAACAAAACAGTATGGCTGTTACTAGGCAAACGCGCAATCTTGAAAGTAGGTAAATTTTCTAGGGTATAATGACTCCGTCAGGGAATATTCGTAAACCATTAACCATATGTTCTGTTTCAGGAGAGTTGTTTGCATTCTCTGCCAGGGTAGGTGCCGGAGTTCCCCTATCCAACGATGGCACATTCGTTTTCAACGAGCCGACGATCGGCCAGGTTGACAGCTACGATACCGTCTCTGGCTACTTCACAGCTCCAGTTAATGGACGGTATGAAATCAATATATTTAGAGTTTTTACACACTTTTTTCGAGCTCAACGTGAACCAACTATATCCAGTGTGGTTGTACGTAGAATAAGTGTTTTCACAAATACAAAAAAAGCGCAATGTCTTATCTAGTGGCGTAGCGGAAGTCGTGTCCGTTTCCAATTGGTGACCTACATTCTTGCCCATCCCTTCCGCACACAAAACATTATTGCCTGCGAACATTATTATATTATAAGATTCGATAATATTTCTTTGCAGTTACTTCTTCTATGTGGCCCTCGTGTGTGCGAACGGAGCGCCGAACGTAGCGGAAATGTTGCTGCGCGGTGACGTACGGGTCGCCTCCATCCATCTGTCCAGTGTCGGATCTCGGACGGCAGGCAACGCTGGCGCTCTGGTCTCCATGAGGAAAGGACACGATATACGGATCAGACTCGTCGATCCAACTGTCTCGTGCGACCCTTTCACGTCTTCATTTACAGGCTATTTGTTGCCGCTCATATAGGCGTTCGATATACGATCACTACATCTTGATTTGCGTCATGTATGCTATATATACGTATGCGATAGTACTTCAATTATCGTGTATTAATGTAAACAATGACGTCACGGTAGAATTGTTATGTATGTTATATAGCATTGTAATAATTACACTGCAGGCAAACTTAGTTTATACGAAAACGTAAACTGTCCGCGTACTGTGGAAATAGGCCTATTAATTTGAAGAAAAAAATGTACAACCTAAAATTAGATTCCTGATATGTTCGCGTTTAGATAGAACGAAAATTTACTTATCACATCATCCGTTAACAGTTTATCACATATATCAGAATATAAACTCCAAATGCTAGAGCTATCAACTGAAAACAGTTTTTCGTATCATTATTGAAAGATTGGATTAATAAATTGAACACATTTACCACAAAAACTTCAATGACAATGATTTTGCCATTACGTACACAGGGCGTGATGCTGCGATCAAAGTGAATGTTATAGCTCGGATTTTACCAAGCACACGCGCTGTCGGCCCGCCTGGCTCCACTTTGAACGTATGAAAACGGCCGAAGAATATTCACTTGGCAGTCAACGGTGACCGACGCACCAGTACCATCTACCTCTACATTAATATAGGCATAGCGGGGAGCCCAGGGCGTGATGCTGCGAGCAAAGTGAATATAGATATAGTATTTTACTAAGCACACGCGCTGCCGGCCCGTCTGGCTCCACTTTAAACGTATAAAACGGCCGAGGAAAATTCTCTTGGCAGGCAACGGTAACCGACGCACGAGCGCCATCTACCTTTACAATAATATAGACATAGCGGGGAACCCAGGGCGTGATGCTGCGAGCAAAGTGAATATTATAGATATAGTATTTACTAAGCACACGCGCTGTCGGCCCGTCTGGCTCCACTTTGAACGTAAAACGGCCGAGGAAAATTCTCTTGGCAGGCAACGGTAACCGACGCACGAGCGCCATCTACCTCTACAATAATATAGACATAGCGGGGAACCCAGGGCGTGATGCTGCGAGCAAAGTGAATATTATAGATAGTATTTTATTAAGCACACGTGCTGTCAGCCTGCCCGGCTTCAGTTTAAACGTATAAGAACGGCCGAAGAATATTATCTTGGCAGTCAACGGCGACCGACGTCGCAGTGCTATTTACCCATACATTAGCATAGCTGGGGATCGTGGCGCGATGCTGCGAGCGAAGTGAAGCAAGTAGATCAGATTTTACCATGCACACGGTGCTGTCAGACTGCCCGGCTCCACTTTGAACCTATAAAAACGGCCGAAAAATAATATCTTGGCAGTCAACGGCGACCGACGTCGCAGCGCCGTTTGCCCATACATTAGCATGCATAGCTGGGAATCGTGGCGCGATGCTGCGAACGAAGTGAAGCATGTAGATTAGATTTTACCATGCACACGTGCTGTCAGCATGCCCGGCTCCACTTTGAACGTATAAGAACGGCCGAAGAATATTATCTTGGCAGTCAACGGCGACCGACGTCGCAGCTCCATTTGCCCATACATTAGCATAGCTGGGAATCGTGGTGCGATGCTGCGAGCGAAGTGAAGCATGCAGATAAGATTTTATGATGTACACGTGCTGCCAGCCTACCCAGCTCCAGTTTGAACGTATAATAACGGCCGAAGAATATTATCTTGGCAGTCAACGGCGACCGATGTCGCAGCGCCATTTGCCCATACATTAGCATAGCTGGGGATCGTGGCGCGATGCTGCGAGCAAAGTGAAGCATGTAGATTAGATTTTACCATGCACACGTGCTGTCAGCCTGCCCGGCTTTACTTTGAACGTATAAGAACGGCTGAAGAATATTATCTTGGCAGTCAACGGCCCCGACGTCGCAGTGCTATTTACCCATACATTAGCATAGCTGCGAATAGTGGCGCGATGCTGCGAGCGAAGTGAAGCATGTAGATCAGATTTTACCATGCACACGTGCTGTCAGCCTGCCCGGCTCCAGTTTGAACGTATAAGAACGGCCGAAGAATATTATCTTGGTAGTCAACGGCGACAGACGTCGCAGTTCCATTTGCCCATACATTAGCATAGCTGGGAATCGTGGCGCGATGCTGCGAGCGAAGTGAAGCATATACATCAGATTTTACCATGCACACGTGCTGTCAGCCTGCCCGGCTCCAGTTTGAACGTATAAGAACGGCCAAAGAATATCATCTTGGCAGTCAACGGCGACCGACGTCGCAGCGCCATTTGCCCATATGCCATCGCCATTTGCATAGCTGGGAATCGTGGCGCGATGCTGCGAGCGAAGTGAAGCATGTAGATCAGATTTTACCATGCACACGTGCTGTCAGCCTGCCCGGCTCCAGTTTGAACGTATAAGAACGGCCAAAGAATATCATCTTGGCAGTCAACGGCGACCGACGTCGCAGCGCCATTTGCCCATACTAGCATAGCTGCAGGCCTTATATACGCCACCGGACGAGTCCTCATAAGTATACATGCTATAACAATTTTTTCACATGTACCTGACAACAGATCGATCGCTCACAGCGTATAAAAGTGATGATAAAATTTATTATTATTATTATTATTTTTGTTATTATTGTACTCGCAATTACAATAATTAAAGGAAAACGCTGTAGCAAAATACTGTACACAATCAATTGATATTACATTTAATATAAAGTTTATTACATAGATTTACACAAAAACAATACCTTCAAACTTACACGTCGAATCAGCAATGAGTCTACGTAGCACACACGCTCAATCTGTGGAATTAAGTGATAAATGCCGCGCATAGCTTTAGCTGTTTCAAAAACAGACGTGATTACGTGAAGATAATTAATACTGTTTAGCTTCAGACCGTTGTCCATTAATCTCATATCAAAACCTACAGCGAAATTACATCGGCTATGTGTGAAAGCCAGATCTCTTCGTTCAAATGCTTGCCATCTCAATACAGCTCTGTGTTCTCATTATTGCTTGGAAAAATTATATAAAAGATTATGCTGATTTTTTTATTTAATTTACGCAAATGTGTTGATTGTATCTGGTCGAGTTGATTAAGGCGCACTATAATACATCTACTACAAAAGAATCGACAAGACAAATAAAACATCCCGGGTTATGATCAAATTTTCAGCGAAAACAAAAACAGAATCGTCAAAAAATTGAGTCATTCGCCTGCAGGTGTTTACAGGTATCCGTAGCGAATCAGCGCTGCGATGGAGTCGTTAGACAAACTTCGCTTAGCTACGAAGTGCCAGGAACCCGACAATGTGGCGTGAGCGCATGTAAAACACGCCTTAGCTCGTATATGCTGACATCGTAACATTATCCAAGGCCTCGTGGTTATCTTGCTCCGACGGATATGCTAATCATATGACAATGAGAGATGTCACTAATTGAAATAAATGCTCCTATGCGATGGTTGTTTTGCTATTTGCGAATGAGGAGGTGGCAGGTGCTGTGCCGTCTTGATTGTCTGCGTCCGTGCTCGCTACATCTGGGGTGTCGGGTTCTGTAATGAACAGCGGCAATTTCAGTCAATTGATTTTATCAATCAAATCTACGTTAATTCGAGGAAATTACGCGCTGAGCTTACAGCTTTCTGGCTATCGGCTTACCCGATTGTCGGCTTACACGCTTGCTCATGTGTTTGTCAGATTATTAGCTGCCTGAACTGTCTGGTTTACCGCTTTCCCATCATCTTTAGCGTTTTCGCTTTGCTTTATAACCTACCTGTATGTCTGCGGGCGCATCTGCTACATACATACATGTAGGTCACTCTGCCGCTTGCCCGTTTTCCCGAGACGGTCACGAAATAATTTTTTAAACATTTTAGTATTCATCAAAAGCTCACCGGCCTCGGGGCTTGACTCGCCCTTGAGGTTGAGGCTGTCCATAGAGATGTTGAAGTAACGACTCTCTCTCATCTCCTTCACCTCACCGAATGCGGCCGCGTCGCTATACTTCACCTTTGGATCGGATATGCCGCTGTCGCGCAACGTCTTTTTCTTCGCGCCCGCCGACCCGCCGCCACCCCGCATCGTCACGAATGAACCCGTCTGCTGTTTCCGCTTCCGGAGCACAAGGAAGCAGACGCAGAGTAGGAGAAGGAGCAGCGAGAGCAGGGCGGCGATGATGGCCCACACCCAGGCCGGCGTGTCGTCAGCGTCGTCGTCCGTCGTAGAGCCGTTGCCGAGCTCTGATTGGTCGCCACCCACGGCTCCGTCTCTGCTCGTCGTGCTGCCTTCTATGTGTACACATATATGTATATATATATATATATATATATATATATATATATATACCTGTGGCTGGTAGCGTTACTGGCTCGCTCTCGCACATCCGCTCCTCCACATAATATTATAATCTCGGAGTTGCACTACCGGCTACAGCCGCGGTCCGCTCGAACCCGGATGCTCTCCCGCGCGAGAGAATATATAGGGCCTACGTGTGCCCCCGTCCTGCTGCACTCGGAACACGACTACAGTGTTACCGCAGACTAGCTGTCGTTCCTAGACCGCAATCTAAACTATCGTAGCTCAACGCGGTGATCGAAAGAGAGTTAGTTCTTCACCGTACCTTTCCGACTCTGCGCGTGATCACGTCACAACGCGTGATGCTTTTTCGCACGTCGTTGCTTGTCGTCGTCGTCGTCGTTGCGATGCGACGCGCCGACGGAAGCAGCGAATCCCGACTGCCGGACCTCGCCGACTACGGCGACGATTTCACGACGAATGCAGAACTGTTCAGTGCGATAGCGACCGTCACGGCCAGGTTCGATGCGCTCGCCGCAAGCTTCGCTCCTCTCGAGGCGGAGCTATCGCGCATGCGCACCGAACTAACAGCGCTGCGCGCGGCCGACGTTACCGCGTCGCAGCGATCATTGCCGAGCGTCGCCACCGACGCTTCGAGCGCCGATAATGACGTCCCAGCGGCTCCGACCGCAGTCGATGACGTCACGCTCGCGAAACAACCGTCGTCGACGGTCGACTGGATGAACAGCGCATTGCTGCAGGTCACCGAACGCCAGTGGGCGACGAACGCGACGTTGCGTCGGATCAGAGAACGACAGGAGCGGTTAGACGCTGACCTCGACGCGATACGACGAGCACAAGAGGACGCCGACTCGCGGCTGCTTCGAGTCGACATCGTGATTAACGAGGCGACGGAACTGTGGGCGCGCACAACGGCAGCCGTCGACGACTTGCTGCTTCAGAAGACGACGTTGTCGACGACGACCGCCGCGCACAGCCGTGTGACGAATGCGACGGAGATGCCGACGGAAGCAAAACATACGACGGCGTTCGATGCGCCATCAAGCGGCGGCTCCGATCAAGCTGCGGTGGTCGGCAACGCAACGCTGCTGCCGAAACTACAGGCCGACGCCGACCGACACGAGCGCCATCTTTCGGCGCTGGAGCAGCGCGTCGCTAAGAGCGTCGCCGTATGCGATGATGGATTCCGAGACGTCGGCGGCAGAGTAAAACGGATGCGGATCGAGCTGCTGAGTCGATTCGAACGATTCGAGGAGCGGCTGCTTGAAACGGAAATGAATTTCGCGAATACGTCGGCTGACACGCGTAACCGAGTTGAGTGGCTGCAGGGCAAGCACTTAGGTAACCGCAAACTAACATACTCGACTAATATAAGGCTTACTAATATACTTATATAACTAATATAAGGCTTAATAATATAGGCCTACTAATATAACTAATATAAGGCTTACTAATATACTAATATAACTAGTGATAGGCCTACTAATATATACTAATATAACTAATAATAAGGCTTACTAATATATAATAATATAACTAATAGTAAGGCTCTACTAATATTACTAATAATAACTAATAAGGCCTACTAATATACTAATATAACTAATTATAAAGGTTACTAATATACTAATAATAACTTATATAAGGCTTACTAAGATATACTAATATAAATAATATAAGCGCTTACTAATATACTAATATAAATAATATAGGCCCTTACTAAATAACTAATATAAAGCTTACCAATATACTATATAACTAAAATAAGGCTTACTAATTTACTAATATAATAATCAAGACTTACTCATTATACTAATATAACAAACGAAGGCATACGAAATATAACTAATAAACTAATACAACTCCTAATACAATTATAAGGTCAATTATTAGCAGGCTGCGCTATGCGCGTCATATAACAAAAGAGGACCAGTAAAATGAG